TTGTTTTAATGTGACTGTTGAAACTCAGGTCAGAGTCCATGACTACACCTAGATTTCTGGCTTCATCTGTTGTTTTGAACATTGCAGACTGAAGCTCAGCGCTGACTTGTATTCGTTCCTCCTTGGCTCCAAAAACCATTACCCATTCTTATCTTTGTTAATTTTGAGCTCTTTTACATTTGTGTATCTTGCAGTTTTTAACCTGCTTGGAGTTTCCACTTTCTAAACTTCTACATTCTGTACTTCTGCAGCTATAAACAGATTATTGAACCTTGAATATTTTAAGCATGAACATTGTTTTCTAAACTTTCATCATGTATTCTTTATTCAGACTGTGGGGCTGCAGTTTGTCAGAAATCAGCTGGGCTGCTCTGATCTCAGCTCTGAAGTCCAACCTCTCCCATCTGAGACATCTGGACCTGAGTGGCAACAATTTGAAGGATTCAGGAGTGAAGCTGCTGAGTGATCTTCTGGAGAGTCCAGACTGCAGACTGGAGAAATTCACGTCAGTTCTCCATCTTTTACTTCTGTGCTGAGATTAATATGTGAGAGTTGTGTTGACTCTGAGCTGCAGACATCAGGCTGATGTTATCCTGATCCTCACTGAGCATCTTAATGCTAAAGTCTATTTTCTTCTTCTGTGGTTTTAGTTAATTGACTGTGGCAGAGCAATGTTGATCTTTAAACTGAAATATCCTATATTGCATAATTCACTCTGAACCTCTTAAACACCTGACATGTATCTTATATTCTCCAGAAGGATTTTAACAAATTATATTAAAACATCAAATACAATAATTAAATATTTCTATTAAAACTATCAAACACTAACAAATAAATTCAGGTTTTGCTGTTTCCAACATTTTAATGGGTCTACATCAGGGGTGCCCAACCTTTTTTGAACCAAGAGCTACTTTTAAAGTTGCCAGTCTGCCGAGATCTAGGGGCTGGGGTGCTAGCGAACTGTCAACTGGGGGGAGCCTCGCTGCGGGGAAACGGCGGACCTCTGTCGGTGCAACTTCAATGATGCCTTTTAAAAACACATTGCAGACTGAAGCTCAGCGCTGACTTGTATTGTATTGTGACTTGTGTTCCTCCTTGGCTCCAAAATAAATTACCTCAGTTTTATCTTTGTTTAGATTGAGCTATTTTACAATCAATCAATCAATCAATCAATCAAAACTTTATTACAGACTCAGGGTCCAGTTAAAAGACAAGACATTACATATAATAAATTACATACACAGCATAAAAAGAAATTCATTCTTTAAGAATAATTTAAATCAGTGTCATACAAAGAGACAACTATACCAATGTCTCCACAGCTGCGATTGGTAGCGTGTAGTACTAAACCTTATGTTTGATAAGGCCAAGATGATTTCATTATCAGAGTCATTAAGCCGGCAAATACATGTATTCATGAGATTTCTTAAAACAGCTTGTAGAGTATTGACTCCTGCAGCCACAAACATTTCACTTGCACTAGACTATCGAGGTCTCTTCAGCAATATTCTCACAGCATCATTATAAGCTACTTGAACTTTCCGTAAACTTGCTTTTCTGTAGTTTGACCACAAATGTGCAGTATAGAGTGGTGTACAATATGCTCTGAACAGAGACATATTCACTCCATCTGTACATGCACTAAACTTACGTAGGAGAATGTTTGCTTGTGCATACATCTTCATCATCTGTAATTTGTTCTGTAATAAAGTGTCCAAGATATTTTTAACTTATTACAGACACTAAGATTAATATCAGACAATTTAAAATCAGGACATTTTAGACATTTATCCTCTTTGGTTCTAAAGATCATGACAGCACTCTTACTGGCGTTGTATTTGATGTCATGTTCCACACCATACACAGAACAAACAGTAAGGAGCTGCTGAAGACCAGCGCTAGATGGACTCAGCACAACAAGATCATCTGCATACATAATATGGTTCACTAGAGTACTACCAATCATGCATCCAGTATTACAGGCTGTCAGTCGCTTGGACAGATTATCAATATAAAGATTAAAAAGAACTGGGGACATAATTCCACCTTGTTTGACACCATTACTAACCCCAAATGGGGCTGATACCCTATTGCCCCATTTTACTTGCATAGTCTGGTGGCCATACCAGTAGACCAGAATTCTCACAATGTATTTGGGCACCCCTCTTTGATTCAGTTTAACTAATAACTTCCTATGATTAACACGATCAAAGGCTTTAAAAGCATCAATGAAACACATAAGAACTGATGAGTTATTACCTCTATATTTGTTAACAATTTCCTTTAAGGCGTATACACAAGTCAGTGCCATGTTTAGCCTTAAAGCCAAACGGGTTATCTGTTGAGTTAATAAAGTCATCTAATCTGTCCAGCAGAATTCTTTCTAGGACTTTTGACAGTATGCTGGCTAACGCTATGGGCCTATAGGTATCTAGGCTTCCCACTTTACCGGCTTTGTCCTTAATAACTGGCACTAACAGAACAGACAACATTGAGTCTGGTAACAAGCCATGACTCATAAAGGCAGTAAAGCAAATAGAAAGGAGAGAAGCTATCTCCATACTGGCATATTTAAGATGTTCAGCAGAAATATGATCTTCACCACTTGCTTTGTTATCAGACAGCTTGTTTATAGCTTAGTACACCTCATGTGACATTATCACCATTGACTCATTGCTATCAATATCATCTACCTTATACAGTTCACTTTGGACACAGTTGAATAAGGTACTATAATGCTGTCGCCATAACTCTGCAATATTGTCTGTTCCGGATGTTCCATCTACAGTGCATGGTAGAGATATTTTGCAGTTATTAATAACCCTCGCTTCTTTCCAAAAATCAATAGCATTGTTACTTAGCAACTTCTTAGCCATGGAATCAGCCCTCATAGCTTGCTCATTTTTACAGATGAAGCGAATAGCATACTTGTATCTTGCATTAGTAAGCTTCTTGTACTCAAATACAGACCCTTGTCTGGGTCTGCCTGCCATAGCCCATGATTTGGTGGCTTCACAGGCTTCAGCATGATACTCAGCTACATACCTATTCCAGCCAGGCCTGATGTTATGTGTCTTATTGTTATGTTTGTAGTAAGGCTTACTGCCTTATTACAGAGCACTTACTATATCATTGTACATGGAGCAGATATCACTCCTATGCTTTGCATCCTTACAATTAACATCACTACACATAATTGCGTCTCTAGGTAGATGAATATTAGTTAAGGATGTATCCGTCTGAGCATAATAGGATGTAATGTCTTCCTTTGTGAGGGTTGACCAGTCTAGTTTTGAACACTATTTACATTTCTGGTTAGCCCAGGTAGATGTTCGACATTTATTGACATAGCAACAGGTATATGATCAGTCGTTGCTGTCCCATACAGAATGCTCATACACTCAAGTGAAGCATGCGCATCAGCTGTACTAATACAATGGTCAAGCCATGACGCAGTATGCCAGGCCTCACTAATGTAAGTATAACTATCTGCAGGAAAAAGCACCTTGCTTGACAATATACAATTGTTTTCGTGACAGAACTGAGCCATATGCTTGGCAAATAATGAGTTCCTGTCTGTTTACATTTATGTATCTTACAGTTTTGAACCTGTTTGGAGTTTCCACTTTCTAAACTTCTACATTCTCTACTTCTGCAGCTATAAACTGATTATTAAACCTTGAATATTTTAAGCTGAATATTTGTTTTCTAAACGTACATCATGTGTTCTTTATTCAGACTGATGGGCTGCAGGTTGTCAGAGATCAGCTGGGCTGCTCTGATCTCAGCTCTGAAGTCCAACCCCTCCCATCTGAGAAAGCTGAACCTGAGTCACAACGATCTGCAGGATTCAGGAGTGGAGCTGCTGAGTGATTTTCTGGAGAGTCCAGACTGCAGACTGGAGACTCTCGGGTCAGTAAGGGGTCGACTCAGTCTCTGCTGGTTCAGCAGGATTGTATTAAACACAGGGAGGTGGAGGTGTTTCTCACACTGGGGAATCTCTCCAGTTCCACCTTCCAGGCGTAGCCTAGCTTAGCACAACAAATCAGTGATGTTACCATTTATCTGCAGTTTCTCCTTTTCTTTCATCTTGCGGTTCTTTACTTTCATTATTATAAAGCAATATAATACAAGCTGGCATTGCAAAGCCACATTTTAGTCAGCTGCAACTTCTTAACAGACAAATGGGATTTTACAGAAAATGTGTTGACTGTGGCAGACTAATGTTGAGCTTTAATTTGAAATATAACAAGAAAATCCTACACTGCATAATTCACTCTGATCCTTTAAACACCTGGAATTCATCTTATATTCTATATCAGGTTTCTTTCATAAATGATATAATAAACAGATTAATACAATTAATACACATTTGTATTAAAACTATTAAACACTAACCAATCATTTCAGGTTTTGCTTTTTCTCAAAGATTTTTAAGAAGCTAAATGATGCTTATACTAACTGAATAGTTACAACTGAACATGCTGTGATCTATGTCTCCACTATTCCTAAAATTATTATCTCTATTTATTTTTGATCACATTTCTTTAAAATTCATCCTGAGATATTTGTGATCTTTGTAAACTCTGTGATCTTGAGTTGAATCAGTTTCTGTGGTTTTTATTTGTCTGGCTGCACATCATGAGTTAGTGTAGATGGAGCGGAGTTTAAGATGTGGAGTCACCACTTTTTATTGAAGTAGAAGCACGTTGTCTTAAATATTAATGAGAGCTCTTTTTCTCGGGAGTGTCCACTTTATAAACTTCTACATTTTCTACTTCTCCAGCTATAATCAGATTATTAAACCTTGAATTTTTTCAAACAGGAACGTTGTTTTCTAAACTTACATCATGTGTTCTTTATTCAGACTGAGGTTCTGCAGTTTGTCAGAGATCAGCTGTGCTGCTCTGATCTCAGCTCTGAAGTCCAACCCCTCCCATCTGAGAGATCTGGACCTGAGTAACAACAAGCTGAAGGATTCAGGAGTGAAGCTGCTGAGAGATCTTTTGGAGAGTCCAGACTGCAGACTGGAGACTCTCGGGTCAGTAAGGGTTCACTCAGTCTCTGCTGGTTCAGCAGGATTGTATTAAACACAGGGAGATGGATGTGTTCCTCTCACTGGCTAATCTCTCCAGTTCCACCTTCCAGGCGTAGCCTAGCTTAGCACAACAAATCAGTGATGTTACAGCTTATCTGCAGTTTCTCCTTTTCTTTCATCTTATGTTTCTTTTCTTGCATTCTTCTACAAGCAATATAATACAAGCTGACTATGCAAAGCCACTTGTCAGTCAGGTGCAACTCATTAACAGACAAATGGGATTTTACAGTTAAAAAGGTAGTCTGTTTATTTTTCCTATGAAGTTTTTTTGTTCCTGGACTAATTCCTAGTTAACTCTCTAATGCAGCTGAGAGCTGTGGACAGTCAGTCAGTCGTAGTGTTTGCAGAGAAGATATGATGTGATGTGATGAAGCATTGGATCAGTCAGGACTCTGAAGCTGACTAACTCAAAGAACAAACAAATATTTTAACTTGATCTATAACTGTTGGATTGTGTTCATCCCTACAGGATCAATGACGAGACAATCACAGCCACGATACAGAAGAAATGTGAGTATTGAACCATATCCTCCAAATACATCCAAACTATCGTAAATGCGATCAAATCATACGTTATATATTTATGTATCACTTGATGAAATCTGTGCCTCCTGTTTATGTCTAACACGGAGGGGCTAACCAAGCCTGCTACAACGGCCCAAAAACACTTCCATTAGGAGAAAGGCGCTGATACTTCAAATACGATGCAATATAAAAACACAAATGTGCCAAAACACACGCAAATGAAAAAACATCTTCACCAACTTGACAACACATGCTCAGCATTTAGAAAATATTTACCAACTTGAGGAAACATGCGCAGCGTTTGCTAAAAGCCCTACATTAACGAAACGCTGTAAAAGCCCCAGAAAGCACATGGCTACTTAGCATGCAAAATGATGACATTCTGCATGTTAAGTAGCCATGTGCTTTCGTGTTATCGGCTGAATCTTTATTTATTGATTTGATCACATTACTGTGATGATAGTGTTCAAGACAGCCCACCTATATGTCTGAACTCGATCCTTAGAGTAATGTGTTACGTAGCCTTCTCTTCAATCTTTTTTCCACATAATGAGCATTTTGCGCTGCTCTTTTCTGTGTGAAAGCATACAGCAGGATGCGGGGTGTGTCTCTGGAAATCTTTAGACTGGAATAGCGGGGGCGCGCCACGTGCGTGAACTCACCTCGCATGTGCACACGCCAGGACAGAGTACATCTGACTCGTGACAAAACTTGCTCGAATCCAAGTCCAAGTCGGAGCATCAATGTACAAGTCGAGTCCGAGTCATTGTGGCTGAAAAATTCACGAGTCCGAGTCAGAGTCATCGTGCACGAGAATCCACGAGTCCGAGTCATCGTGCACGAGAATCCACGAGTCCGAGTCCGTGCAATCAGTGAGCGAGTCCGAGTCGAGTCACGAGTCCCGAAAATCGGCACTCGAGTCCGACTCAACTCGAGTACTCCATCTCTGTTAACATTAGACATACTTATATCCAATAAATACCACACTTCTGAATTTTGAGGCTTATATGCGTCTGTAGCGGCCAAAATCATATAGAAATAAAACAGATAATTCACTTAAAATAACACTGCAGCTGAGGCACCAGTTATTGAATCTTACGCAGGGCAATGATCCAAGTCCAGACAAGAATCTCCGTTTGTGCATTTATTTCCATGGTCCAATATCATTAACAAATGAACAATTAACAGGTTTCCTATTTTCCTTTCCTTCATCCCTTTTTTTTGGCTTTCCTTGTGGCTTGTATCACACTGTGGTAAAAAAAAACATGTGCCTACTACCTATTTGGGTCAATATCAACCAGCAGCAGCCGCAGCAAGACGGTACACGACACGCCCCCTAGATGGTACACCCCCTACACGAAACACCCCCTACACGACAAACTCCCTACACGACACGCGTGTCACGCCCCCCACAAAATATGCCCACTTGACACGACACTACGGTGGCTGAGAGACATTGATACCGTACATGGCAGATTAAAAACGAATTGCAAATGTTATTGTAGCATTTTAAGCAACTATTAGGCAAAGAAATGAATAACCAAGTCTATCCGTTTGAGACACAACAGCATGACTTTCAGCACAAATCATTTTGTCTAATTAATCAATTAAAACAAAAAGGTGGCTTAGTAAACTTTATTTTAATTTTTTAATACATATAAAATAGGTTTTAATTAGATCATAGGGTTAGGGTTAGGGGTTCATTTCATTTCATTTCAAACCTTTATTTAACCAGATTGGTCCCATTGAGTTCATAGATCTCTTTTTCAAGGGAGACCTGCAGCATATAGGTTCCACATGAAACATAAAACAATAAAGGACATCATACATTATATTTACAGGATACATTTACATAGTTATAGACATTTACAAGTACCCATAGTATCAACGAGCATTTCATTTAGCCTAGCTTTAAAAACATGCAGAGGAATGAGATTGCTCAGTTTCAATTCTTGCTGAAGATTGTTCCAAGCAAGTGGAGCTGCGCACATAAAAGCTGTCTTACCTAAGACAGTCCTTGCTCTTGGCACATCTAACAATACTACATCATGCGATCTCAGACAATAGCTGCTTGCAACTCTCTGTGTTATCAGAGAGCAGATATAATACGGGAGTTTACCCAACAAAGCTTTATAAATAAACGTGTACCAATGACTGAGCCTCCGTACAGTAAGTGATGGCAAACCTGCCTTGGCATACAGGGTACAGTGATGTGTGAGTGCTTTACAATTTGTGACAAATCTCAGTGCGCTGTGATAGGCGGCATCTAACTTGTTCAGGCAATGGGCAGGTGCATTCATATACAACAAATCACCATAGTCCAGCACAGGTCAAAAGGTCACAGAGACTAGCCTTTTCCTGGCCTCAAGTGAGAAACAGGACTTGTTTCTGAAAAAGAAACCTAGCCTAACCCTCAGCTTTTTAAGCAAGTTATTGACATGAAGTTTAAAAGTAAGACAATCGGGTTAGGAACGTTAATTACCTGTACTCGGTGCGCCATATTGTCTGTTCTCTGTAAACCTCCATGTCTCTTTAAATATCCTTGCGTCAGCATCTCATGTTTTGGGCGCGCTTTCTTTTGACCATATTTGGAAGTACAACTTCCTACAGGTTCAACCTCCACCGTCTTGCTGCGGCTGCAGCTGGACCCTTCTCATTTGGGTTGCCATATGTAGCTGTCCAATATGGCGGACCATCTCGCGCTTGCGCAATGCAAATCGGGCAGAGATGCAAATCGGGCAGAAACTCATCTCCTCATTGGCTGTGATGTTAAATCATGTGACTGTGATGTAGTTCCTTTATAGCCTAATGCTAGCTTTTCACTTGTGTGAAAGAACAGGTATTTGATGTTCACAACTCAAAAAGAATGTATAAATACCATAGGTGTAATCCTTTTTAGACATTTTAATGAGAAAATGTTACATATTATATATTTTTAAATAAATAAACCCACCACTGGGAAAGTTGAGGAATATAAATATCTCTGTGAACATCACATTGAACTTTTGTGTAACTTGTTAGTAATTTTTTAAGAGATCTCTGTTCAAAGTGATTGTTGGTTATATAACAAGAGGGAATAGTGTACTGTTAACCATCAGGCAGTGCATTCAGCCCCGTAATCCTGCATTTGGTTAGTTTCCTTCAGTTTCTGTCCCTCAAATCTTTGGAAACAGTCAGAAAAACAGCGACGGAGAACACGAAGAACAGTTTTAAATGATGACTTTTTTTGCGTTAATCACCCCGACTGAATTAATCACACGTGACTATTTTTCACTCATGTTCCCGGTAATACCTTACACTCTGTTATTGCTTAACTTTTATTCATAAAAATAGTCGAAATAAACTGCAGTGAGTAACATTTCCATGAAGATATTCCAAAAATCCAATACCAAGAAGCACATGATGGCGTTTTTCAGTGTCTGACAGGCTGTTGTAGACAAAGTATGCTGCAATAGCACTGAATGTTATTATTGTTATTATCACATGTTTTTCATGTATCTAGTTTACATGAATTTTTGGTTGTTTTTCGTATTGCACATTTTGCTGATTGTGTTTGCTGACACCTGACTATATGGACGGAGACAACATGAAGCTTTCACTCCTGAGGGGACTGACAACAACAAATACCCAACACCTGGGCAGAGATAATACATTTACAATTGTGAATAATGTTTGATATCCTGATGGTAAACCCTTCTTACCCATGTTTGTTTCTTTGATCGGTTGAAACACAGGTTCTTCCTCTCTCTGAATCCTCCTACCACAGGATAAAAAGTTGTAATTGATAGTCATGACTACGTTGGATAGACTGGATGTTATTCTGGAGCTGACATTTATTCATAAATAAACATCTTTGATACTCGGTTCAATTCTTGCATTGTATTCTTTAAATGTAATTTATTATTATAATGTATTGTAGACTAAAATGTATTATTCTGTATTTACCTTCCACCCTCTGGCCACTTTGTCAAATGTATTTCTATCAACAATTATTCTGTTCTTTTATTCCCTTATCTGTATTTAATCATTTATCTTTGCATTTTTATATATTATGTCATTTTCAAACCTCCATGGGAAAGCAAATAATGTACTTACATTTTTACCAGTAGACTCTCCATTCATCACCTAAATATATATATATATATATCACAAAATATGGTTGCACAGGGAAACTCCCATAGTGCTGATAATACATTTAACGATGTAATATAATATTATAATGAATTGTAGACTAAAATGTGCTATTCTGTTTTGTTATACACCAAAACCTGTGGGCTGAGAAACTAAAACTAAAATGATTTTATGATAAGTTGGTATCAAACACATCTGAGGTGCAACTTTTGCAAAAAGGAGGGCTCGTCTGGGATTTGAACCCGGGACCTCTCGCACCCTAAGCGAGAATCATACCCCTAGACCAACGAACCACACAAATAGGCGATAACCATCAGTTCATGGCTGTACTTTACATGCCACGTCGCATGACTTCTGCTGCTCTCCTTTAACCTTCAAAGGTAGATTTCCTGGCGATTCAGCGCCCTCTAGAGGCGCTTTGTTGACCTGCAGATACAACCTGATACAACCCTGCAGAAGTGATCTTTATTACATTACATTACATGTCACTTGTTAGACGCTTTTATCCAAAGCGACTTACATACTCAATACTGTGGGCAATCCCCACAGGAGCAATTTGGGGTGAAGTGTCTTGCCCAGGGACACAACGACATGCTGACTGCAGTGGGGTTTGAACCTGATCCGAAAACCAACACACAACCCACTATACCACACGCCTCCCCTATTAAATCATCTTTATCTCACCAGGGCCACAGGAATGTTATGGAGGAAAGAAATTGACACAGGTAAAAATATATAAATAAATGCATGAATAAATATATATATTAAACCGCCTATGCCAAAAACCGGCCCTGTCAGGAGTTAGTCATATATATTTATGTAGCATTGTTGAGATTTTCATTGCCATATCTACACTGTAGCTATAAGACAATAACGCCTCTTGAACCCTCGAGTATCTAAACCAGGGGCTTCCGAACTACGTCCCGGGGGCCATTTTGAATCGGCCCTCAGCACATTCAAAAAGTATAATGGAGAACGGCCCACAGATGAAACTTGTGCTGGTCTTGTGTTGTACTTAAATATAGATGAAAACAGATATTACACAGTAGTATTCATGTGTTAAGAAGCCCACTTTTCAAACAAATTCAGTCAATTAAAGTTGAAAAATGTTTCTATCAAATCTAAGTTGATAAGAAAAAAGCCCAATAACTTATTTTCATAACACGCTTGAAATAAACCCTTCATATTTCCTCTTATGATAATCAATCTGAGGCTTCTGTTTTAAGGAATGAGCTGCTAACAAGATAAATGAAACCCTCTGGAGAGCTGGGATGTAGGCTGTTTGTTTTCTTAAAGTATTTTCAAGTGTTAAACATCATTTACCTACATTTGATTTATTTTGCTGACTTATAACTTAACTTATGAGGCATTATACCTCACCTCAAGTGAGGGGCCCAGCTCTTCGTATATATATTTTTCTGTATTTGGCCCTCGGTGAAAAAAGTTTGGACACCCTTGATCTAAAGGAATAACTGCTTCTGTCAGACCCTGAGGGGCATAAAGGAGGGCTCGTCCGGGATTTGAACCCGGGACCTCTCGCACCCAAAGCGAGAATCATACCCCTAGACCAACGAGCCATGAAAACTAATCATAACCATCAGCTTCTTCCTCTACTTCAAATGCCACGTCGCATTACTGCTGCCTTTAAAACTTAAAAGGTAGATTTCCTGGTGGTTCAGCGCCCTCTAGAGGCGCTTTGTTGACCTGCAGACACAACCTGATACAACCCTGCAGAAGTGACCTCTATTAAATCATCTTTATCTCACCAGGGCTGCAGGAATGTTATGGAGGAAAGAAATTGACACAGGTAAAAATATATATATATTAAATAAAATGAATACTTAAATAAATACATAAAGGAAGTGAAACTCAAATTTTAAATATATTAAATAAATATATATTCTTACTTTTAATTATCATCTTGATTTTTGTATTTATAATTAATCTAATGACTACCATATATTTAATATTTTCCTTTCACCATTTTCTATTATACTTCCCCCCCCCCCGCAATTCTGTATTAATAATATTCCAACGTCCGAAGAGAGAACCAAGATGTAAGATATGATTAAATGGATATCAGTAAGTATGAGTTACCCACATATATATATTTATGTAGCATTGTTGAGATTTTCATTGCCATATCTACACTGTAGCTATAAGACAATAACGCCTCTTGAACCCTCGAGTATCTAAACCAGGGGTGTCCAAACTATGGCCCGGGGGCCATTTTGAATCGGCCCTCAGCAAATTCAAAAAGTATAATGGAGTATGGCCCACAGATGAAACTTGTGCTTGTCTTGTATTGTACTTCTTAACCCTTATGTTGTGTTTGGGTCTTCCGTGACCCGTTTCAAGTTAAAATTATATAATAACTACGCTCTAGTTTTTTTTATCTGAACAAGGCTTCATGATATCCTCCACAACAGCTATATAAACACTACAAAACTGATTTTGACAATTCTAGCCAAGTCTGAAGGTCTCTAAAAAATTGGTGTTCGGTTTCGGGAAGACCCAGCAGAATTGTTTTGGGTGACTCAAGTTTAAATTTGGCCCAATCAAGACTCATCTTTGACTTTAGATAAAGCCCAGCCCCACCCCCTTCATACACTGTACACAGCAAATTCTGTAGTGTGAAATAGTGTTAATGTTTCAGTGTCAATTATTTAGAGTTGATACGTGTTGATTTGGGTGTTCTTTTAACACTTGCAGTGCTGACAAAGCTCTAAGGCCGGTGTTATTTAAGGGAGTTGATTGCATGCACTCTAGTTGGAGTTAATTACACTTCCGGTTTTAGTGCGCCTTTTTTTCTTTATCTCATGGCGGAGAACAACCTGTGTCTGGAAGGGGAGCCTACATTATTTAGCAATGAATATTTTAAGTGCTTTGACAAAAAATCCATAAAAAAATGTCACCTATGGAAGCCGTAGTACTGTAAAAAGCACGACCAATCATTTCAGCCGGCCCGGCTAAAATAACTGGATGGCCTACCTGCCTGTCAGCCTTCCATCTGTGCACAAACTTATCTCGTGCCCTCATTGGTCATGTGCGCGTTCGTGTGTGTTGGAGGAGGGGCTCTATAAGGAAGTGGCAGATTTTCTCCGGTCGTGTATTTTCAAATTCTAGCGATCTCGAGCCGGTTTCTCAAACTTACATACCCTACCATTAAGAGAATAGTCTGAATATTAAAAAATACAAACTCTTTTGGCTCCTTCCTGTCTTTCTACTGGGTCTTTCTTGGCTTTGTACTGGCTATCTTCTAGCTCTATTCAGGTTTTTGGAGTTTTTTTTCTAGCTCTGTCCCTGATCATTATCAGAACCTGAAGGCTCTATACGGACTATCTTCTGGTTCTTTTCGGGATCCATCCACTATCTCTTGTCTCTGTCCAGTGAATTACACTTTTGTTACTGGAGCAGGTAAAGCATACAACAGATACTTTCAGCATTATCGGAGCACAAAGTGGAAGCTTGGATGAAACACAGCGGACTTCTAAACAATGAACACCCGCAACTTGGTAGAAATAAAGTTGGGTTTTATGCGTTCTAATATTGCAATGCAAACCCATGATGTAAGGACAGTAATTAAGAATAATTTAGTCATTGAATGCTCATTTCAGTAGATTTAATCAAACATAAACATATTGGACATGGCCTCAAGACTGTAACCTCTTCACATTCTGTTGAAATGGTCAATTACTAGCCATATCTTACACATTGCTGTTTTGAATCATTAATATGTGGATGACAGTTGAACTGGATGATGTAACATGTATGCCATCTGCTGGAAAGAAGACGTATCGCTCTGTTGACGTTGTTTAGACAACAAAAACAGAATGAAGCTCTCATTTCATAAACAACATTTGAGTACAGACCCCGTCCTGCAGAGAGCACACAACCCAACAGCACGTTTTTGGTCTAGCATCACTTTACAAAACATTTGCATTAAGACACTAAGACTAGCTGGTCCCTTGTAAAGGTGAGTCCACCTTAAATGAGCAGTGGGTGATCAGCAGGTGAAAGGCAGGACACGGGAACTTGGTCCTGAGGAGATGTAACGATTATTAAACAAGAAATAGTCGAGTCAAGGGGTCAAAGAAAATGAACATTTGTGATTATTAGCAAATCGGTTGCAGGTGGGTGAAATCAGGCTTAGGGAGTAACGTATTACATGTAACGGCATTAGGTCATCAGGATACAAAATAGACAAATGTATTCCCTTACAGTTACAGAAGCAGCTGACGACCAACACACTTATGTCTTTTGAAACGATTATGCCATTTAAATCTTTTGTCACAAACATTGCAGCTCTATTTTCCTCTCCTGTGTGGACTCTCATGTGTTTCTTTAAATACTCACTCCGTGAAAAAGCTTTCTTACAGACTGTACAGGTGAATGGTTTCTCTCCTGTGTGGACTCTCATGTGTCGTTTTACATCACTTTTCATTGTAAAAGCTTTCTTACAGACTGAGCAGCTGAATGGTTTCTCTCCTGTGTGGACTCTCGTGTGTGCCTTTAAATGTCCACTCTGTGAAAAAGCTTTCTTACAGACTGAGCAGCTGAATGGTTTCTCTCCTGTGTGGATTCTCATGTGTAGCTTTAAATATCCACTCTGTGAAAAAGCTTTCTTACAGACTGAGCAGCTGAATGGTTTCTCTCCTGTGTGGATTATCGTGTGTGCCTTTAAATGTCCACTCTGTGAAAAAGCTTTCTTACAGACTGAGCAGCTGAATGGTTTCTC